ACGCAAATAAAAATGTACTTACAGGAAAGTCGGTGGTTAAAAGCATACAAATTGTGATGAAGTATAAAATCTCTAGCAGCAGAAGTCTGAAAGAGTACAGCACATCAGCATCCTCTGCCTCCTTGAGTTTGAAAGGTCTACGCGTTTCAGGGGCATGCCCCCTTCATCAGGGAGGTTCTGACCGCTCTGTCTTGTCCCTTGTTTCCTAGATCGATGGTCTTTTTGACCAGTGAGAGCTGCCTTTTGAGTGTTTAAGCCAACTTCACAACCAGCCCATCTTGCAACCAGAGGTGCCGGTATTGGTTTTTTCGTTACCTACAATGCAGGTTCACTCAAAATGAATGGCACCACAATGCAGTAAAAACATGTTGCGTGTATTACTGCAACATGGAAGTATGAATGGGCCCTTATTATTGCACGGGTAGTAGTGAGAATATTGTGTAAGAAGCAGCTGGGAAATACCCATCTGTGGATATCTTAATACTGGACAGGGCTGAAGCGCAGGCATCAAATGTGTCCGCAGGTGACTTATAAATCATTCAAAAGGCTGCGATATTTATACAGTGGAAAGCTTGACTTCCCCAACGAGGATGGGCAAAGCCGTCAGCCTACTAAAAAAAACATTTCCAGAAACATAAGAGCAAACATATCAGGACAGTCCCAGAATGACAAAAGAATGCTGACAAGGTAGACCCCAATAGCCTGGTAGCAGTGCACTGAGAACAGACACTACTTACATTAATCTGAGGGGATAGTGTTTGATTACAATAGCCGTCAGGTTCAGTTTTTGCTCACCGATCAAAGGGAAGCCTTTTGGATTTATGGTTTGAATACACTTCATCCACAAATGCTGAATTCTGCACTATGGCTCAGATGTTTCAATAGACGATAAAGTCTCTTCAAGGGACAGTTTGTCCAGTGTGATATTTGCATAGTGTGATCCCAACAAGCTGCCGATATACAATAAAAAGGTTTACGGGATAAATCAGCAGTATAAGGTAAAGCAGTAAATTGTAAGTGCACCTTTTTTCAGTTATACTTAAAGCTTCATTCACACCTGAGCGGCTCTTTGCACATATTCCCATGTACGGATACGCGCTGAGCCGCTCTAAACAGAGAATACAATGCACAGACCATTGCGGGGGCAGCGCCGGCCATAAAATAGTATGAAAAAAGTGCGATAATCCGGCAGATTACGCACGTTCACAAAATTTTTGCGAGAAATGCAAACGCTATATGTGAATGGAGCCTTACATTGTAGTCTTCCCTTCTCGTCTTATAATCTTGCAGCACTTCTTTTAGCTGGGACCAGTGTAATCTGCAAATGACATAACGTCAGATATGTTGTTATGCTGGTTTCATCGGTGTAAGTTTTTTTTAAAATTAGGGTTAAGTATATTAAATTGCATTTTCTGCACGGGGAATAGTATCCTTGTGTCCCCCCAAAATGCTGGGGAATATGTTAAGCTGTTGTAAATAAACCTTCTTACCTGGCAAGAATAATCAGTGCTGCCGACATTGTTGTATTGTAATTACGTGAGCGACACGTCATGTTCTTTTGTCACAGAACCCTGAAAAGAGCAAGGAGGATGTGTATATTGCATTAGCCACTTACCTAAGGGTCGCCATACACAACCATTGAACAACTTTTTTTGTGCAGACATCTCACCCGCGTTCTATTTTCTTACAACTAGCCCATCATGCACAGACCGATTTAGTTCGCAGTTAACGCAGAGCCACCACCTGGCCAATTTTCAGGTTTTCGTTTGAGCATGTGCAGTTTCCATCTTGAGATTTTTGTTGTGCAACACCACTAGCCGGTCAATTTTTTCACAACTAGACAAAAGTTTTCTAGCCTGCTTGAAAGAGAAAAATCTGCCAGTTGTACAGTAACTGAGGTTGTGCACTCCTCATCAACTGGCAGGTTTTCGGACAAAAACGCAATCGCAGACAAAAATATCCAGATAATTGTATGGGCACCTTAAGACTGTTGTTATGGGTTACTGAACTTTTCTTTTGGTCTTTTTCAGACAATAAGACAAAAAAGTCAACTCAATACTATAATAAGTCTAAACATTAGTATAAATTGACCGGCAGTGTAAAGCTAGGTGCACACAGATTAAATTCCACTCAATTCAGCAGATATCAGTCATAATCCAATTCCAGGGTAACCCCATCTCTACAGTCGACTGTTAGATTGACTTTTGTCAAAGGAACATTTTGGAAATTTGTCGGGCGAACATTGTATGCAGCTAATCAGTGCCTGCCACCATCAAAATACAAAAAGGACACAGCGGGAGATTTGTCCATCCACAATGTTAGTGCAGATCGAAGAATCTAGAAGACTTTTTTCATTTAGCTTCACAGGCTGAATGAAGAAATCTCACTAAAAAATTGACATTTTCATTTTATCCTCCAGGGACCTAAATGCATATAGCACTCAGTCCCATTCAGATCAGTGGCCCTGTTGTGGAATAAAAGCACATCTTTATGTATGTTAATGTTGGCTCTAACTCCACACCAGTCTGAAGCCTAAAATATTGGCTTTCCTGTGGGGGAAGGTACAGCCAGCACTAACCCCCTGTCCCCTCACTGTTTACTGTAATGAATGAACAATCAGCCTTACAAGGCTGTGTCATAGAGCTGCCAGTAACCATACAGGGCAGCATCAGCTCTTTCACATAGCCCAGATCACAATTGTTCATTAAAATAAAAGATCACTCAGCACTGTAGGACTATGTGATTAGCTGCTGGGGCTGCTTGTAAGTACAAAAGTCTACAGCACTAAGTAATCTCTTATGAATGGCAGAGCTGGTCTCCAGAGAGGCCCCTGCTGCCAGAGACCAGCGCTGTCACTAAAAACTCTGTCTCCTTGCTAGCAGGGTGGTCGGACAGAGGTGGTTACACTGCCTGACTATGGTGCTTGGCGACGGCAGGGCGGATTTGAACAGGTCTAAGTACTATATGCGCTCGGTTCCTAGTAGATGAAATAAATGTTTTTAGTGAGACTTCTTTAAAAAAAAAAAAAAGCTATATGTGTGTGTGTGTACCCAGCCTGAATGGAAGGTAATATAACAAATCCTGAAAATAGCAGAGAAGGATTTTACATTTATCTGACCCAGATGAGTAGGTTAAGCTACAAACTGAGCCAGCTTTCCCAGTTAAGAGGGGAATTGATGGAATGATTGATTCAGGAATGTCTGAGGGGATTATTTCTAAAAGGAATACATGGACCTTTAATTAGGGAATTTGCAAGGACTCTATCAATGTACATGAAGCCAACTAGTGTCCCTCGGGCTAATAATATCTTCAGTTTATCACCTTATAGAATCGCTTAGTATCTACTTTAGTAGCATTTTATACCCAATTTGAAAGAGGTACATTTGTCAGACGTGATAGCTCAATGACTTCATTTTCAAGTCTGGATGCAAATTTCCAATAGCTTTGCATATAAATGGCCATATTTATACCGTGTTGGTAAAATTTTCTATAGAAATAATGTAAACGTGATCACACGTCTTTCAAATATATCGGAGGATCTACATTTAGCAAAGAAAATGTTACAGGCAAATGCACAGAATATACTGTACACAAAGAACTAAGACATTAGACAAGAGTCTCCTAACGTGGCCATGAGAGAAGAGTCTCCTAACGTGGCCACGAGAGAAGAGTCTCCCAATGTATGCATTTATACATATTATGTCTGTGTTATCAGGGAGCAACCCAAGCTAACCTAGTCTATTCATTGATGAGTTGGCTTATGTCAGCTTCTCCAACCACCCTGCAACACTCAAGAGCTCTTTTAATTTAATAGACCCGACTGTCAAGTAAAAAGGTGGAGTAGGACGTTTGTAATTCGCCTACAAATTCATTTCGTGAAACCTTAAACAGATTCATTGCTCGCACTGCTACAGCCTTATTCTGTGGTGCTCTTCTACAAAATTTTGCTCTTATTGCAAGACATTTGCTTGTATATCAAGGCAACATTTTTCAGAAATGTTTGCTTTTCTTGCAAAACGCTCTCAAACCAAGTTACTTGTAAACCAAGGTATTACTGTACTTGTTCAGGTACTTCACAGATACAATTACTGGTCCATTTTTTGTTTATTGTCATGTGACAGTTTTTCTAAAACAATACAGACTAATGATTTCAGGACAGTGGTGGAGCGCCAGAGCCAGGTCCCAGCTGCAACCCTGGTAGTTCTCGTAAAAATGCCAAGTATCGGCACTGGTATCTAAACATTCCTAGAAGCAACTGTACGGAGATGCACCACAACAATACACTCCCTGTGCCTCAGAAAATAGCTTTTTGCAGTAGTACACAAATCAGGGAGCACAGGATTTTGTGTTTCTTGTGAAGCTCAAGAAATCTGGTGACATCAATCTCTAAAGATGCATTTGGAAGGCAGTGAGCTGCCTGTAACCAGAAAGTGCTGGGTGTCTTTTCTAAACTATCTTCACAATGCAATCAAATATATGTTTTGCTATGTTTTGGGGAATGCGCATGGCAACTAGTAGTCCATAAATGTTTATTGGTAGCCATTTATTTCTAATGTGATATTGACGCTCGAAAACCTGTTAAACAATGTTTTTTCACTTATATCAGCTCTCTTGATAAATCAGCATTCTGGATATATCAACACAAAGCAAACATATGTTATGGACCCACGTCTCTGCTCCTGAAAATAATTATTTTCTCATTATTAGTGTTCCTGTCACTCAGTCCAAATATAAACCATACACTTTTTACTGTATAGAATTTGTTTCTCCAATTTCTTCATTACAACCCTTAAAAAAAAAAAACATTCTGTCATCTGCTGCACTCTTTCGTAGATCATCGCAAAAATGATGTCCAGGAGAAGATCAGGACCAAAGTGACAATACTCATAAGCATCCCCCCTGCAACATTTATATAACCACTGATTATTTATTATGCAGGAGAAATAAAAATAGACCCGGAGAAAACATGGCTCAGTAAAGTCTGGACTAAATCCTTTCACGTTCATGAAACCTCATTCTTCATAATATCATTAAAAAAAGCCAATCTATACCACAAAAAGTCCAAAATGCCATTTATTGATGAACTGGTTAAATCGTGCTACGCTGCCACATCTGTCCAATGGCAGACATGAATCATTTTCTTTGCACTGTGGTGAAAGCTGGCATCTGAATGGGCTGCATTGGCTGATGGATGGGCTGGAATAATGGCTTTTTTCGGAGATCTGACATCATTTTGATGGACGGCAGAAGCTGGTTTCTTTTGATAATCTGCAAGGCCAGCTGGGTGTTGCCTGTAACAGAAGATCAGCGGACTTTTGTAAGTGTAGTTAAAAGGATGGTACAGCTGAACAGAAGCCAATATGTATACAATGAGTCCCTCAGCCAGAGAGTTCTATGTAAATTTGCTATTCTCCCTATGGACCCCCTATATCACAATGACCACTGCTGCAGATGTTTAAAAGGGTTTTTAGGGCTCGAATGCTTTTAATATGAAGGCAAACTGTGTGCAGTTACATCCTAAAAAACTGTGTGTGTGTGTAGACAAAAGCCCCATTACGAATCGCCAAAAAAATCTGTTGCCTTTACCATAATACTGCTAATAAGGTTCAGAAATAAAACCATAAAATATATAGTTAGTACGTTTTCTGTGACTATGACCACAACTGTTAACCACAAAATGACATTTGAAATACAACATTCCTGTTACTAAGGAGGCTGCAATTACACCTTCCCTAGAGAGGTTTTAAGAAGAATGTACCTTGTATATACCAGCTCAGCTTTAAAGTAACTTGTCAGGTTCAAACTAATAATACTCCCAAAGGGCAGGCACCTTGTGGTACAGTTAAAAAGATATGTGCACGATTAGACAGAGAATAAATGAGGCTGCAGGGCACATGATCCTATGGGATCCCAATTACTGACTTGCCAGGCTACTGCATCAAAGGTGTGTATTTTTATGCTTAAATGGTTAGAAAGGGCTGGAAGGGAACAGTCACTTATGTCTAATTATGCATGTATAATTTTACCATTTCACTGCCAGGTCCTGCTGCCCAATATTAACCTGATTGGCCGGGAAGCCAGCTCCATGCTCCCTCGTCACTTGGCGACAAGGGAGCATGGAGCCGGCTTCCCGGATAATCAGGAAGCCGAGCGGCGTGTAATGACTATCCGCCCGGCTTCCCTATTGGTCGGGAAGCTGACTAATCAGGAAGCCGGGTGGCGAGTCATTATCCACCCCTTGGCTTCCCGAATGGCCCGAAAGCTGGCTCCATGCTTCCTCGTCACCTGGTAAAGAGGGAGCATGGAGACGGCTTCCCGGCTAATCAGGAAGCCGGGCGGCAAATCATTAGATGCCGCCCGGGTTCCTTAATGTGACTTCCGGTCTTGGTATTCGGAATCGGTGAGTAACGAAAACATTTTTTAAATTCGCACTTGATACAGAAAAAACGGTATCGTGCATCCCTACTTGGCATACAAGGAAGTGTGCAGATATATTTCTGGAGGAAAAGCAGACAACAGGTACATTTTTCAGGGGCAGCCCTAACATTTGTACATTTCCTATAACATAGCAAATCTTCACTTTTTGAGTTCAGGTCCACGGTATAGCGTTCAGACCAGAATTAATCAGGTCATGAAGACTCAAAACATTCCTGGTCATAAAGCCGTTTTTTTGTAGGTATATTTTGTAAAGCGTGTACATTTTGTACTCATATGTTGTAAAGAGCTACGCAAATTGTTGGCGCTATATAAATCGTGTATAATGATACGTTGCAAAATTAATGCTTTTCCCTGTTTTGATTTTATGTATACCATCATATTATATTAAACAGAAAACATATAGTTATAGATTTATGCGAGAAAGAGAGCGCAAGATACTTTTAGTAAGACGGCTATCTCAGGTTATTTTTTGTTTTTATGGACTTTCCATGAGTTCATGGATAAGCTGGCAACCTGGTATCCTCCGCTACATTTCTGTTTGTTTAAAGCTGGCACTGAAAATCAATGCGCCTAATATGAAAAATTAATTCACAGAACTTTTTATATAAGGGAATGCCCAGCATTAGGGCCTGTGTCGAGGAGCTTTAGGCCTGTGGCATTAGTTGACACAGTTTAAGATGCTTTGAAGACCATTCAGAAATTTACTGACAGGTGTATTTGACTTGCAGTTGACCTCCTTCTGACCTGTATTAAAACCGGCTTCAAGTAGGTTTATTCCCAGTACTCGTCAGGGAATGGAAAAACCCATCTGACATGAACAAGAATCCATCGACGCAAACAGGTATGTTGATACCATCCTGCAGCTTTTACTATACACATTTCATCTACCTGTCATCTCCATGTACCTTAGAACAATATCTTAAGTCCATGCAAGTAGGAAAGATCTGTATCGTATGCTGTAGGGAAATGTGCTCAGGATATTTTTGTCTGCTTATATAAACAGAATTCATCTCTTTATAAGAACATTTGATTGCAAAATTAAGCAATGCTGCTATAGAAGAGTGCATATGAATAAGTGCAGGTAATACATTAACTGTATTTGTGCTCAGATTCAAACAGAAGACAGAAATGCCACTGAAAATAAAAGGGTTACGTGTTAATGCTGGTGATATCAGACTGCCTGCCCGAGGGAGCAGAACCTGATCGCATGGTAATGCCATTTGTCATAGGGGAGAGATCACAACGGAGCATTTGTGAAATTGATTTTGCTGGACAGAAAAACGACTGTGTAAATGCTCCCTGCTAAGGAAGATGAATAAAGTGTGGCACCAGACAAAGCCCAGGGGAAGAGTGATATGAGGTAAGCAGGATATTCACTTCAATGATGTATATTTCATAAAAAATGGATGTGATGCGGGTCCTTCATGCTGAAACCACTTCGTACACCTTTATTAGACACTAATAATACACACAGCAGACTGGAAGTCCAGCTGCTCAAAGGACTCCACTAATAACAGTTCTGTTATCAACCTCTTTGGAGCATTTATCAATTCACAGGTTTTTTTTCAATATTTAGATTTAAAGTGGGTTAACCGTTTGTTTTTGTTTTTAGAAAATTTTAGACGAAAATAAAAATATAGCTGGACTTAGCCTTCAATTCCTTAGTACTGAATGCAACCCCTCTCTATCCTTTTATGCAGAATCTATATCTGCACACCTAACAATCTCCTTTGCATGCTTTCCACCCACCACCTCCTCATCTAATCAGGATCCAATAGAATTATCATCTCCAGGTGCTTCTGAAGCCATACTGTTTTTAGATTTGTGCCTGAAAACACTGTTACATCTAAACCTGAACTAAGATCTTTATTGCTATGATAGGGAAAGATGTGGGAAGGCCCACTGGGCTTGCAAAGTGATATGAGAAGCTTGGAAATGGTCCTATTTAATTAGAAACGCATATTTTAAACATTTGATCTGGAGTAACACTTTAAACAATTAATTAATTCAATGCTACTTAAAAAGGGAGAGAACAGGTGTCCAAATACCCGTTCAAATCCATCTTAATGCTTTAACCTCCGTTTCACTTGAGCAGGACACTGCTGAATGATGAATGGCATTGCATGTAGAGAGATAGTTACCATTCTGTAGTTCTAGGTAAACTGCCAGCAGAATTGCCTCTGGTGGGACTTCTTTTGGATGAATCATGGAAGAAGCCTAAATAAATAATACATATAAAGAAGAAAATACATATAAAAACAAATAAAGAAAAATACATATAAAACAGTGAAATCTCCTAATAAATTATGAGTCAAAAAGGTGCTGCCTAGATACGACTCCCAAATGTACATTTGAAAGCTGACCCATGGTGAGACTTAACTCAAGACATAATACTGCTGCTTTTAGCTCTAATTGCTGTGATAATTCCTTCTATGCTCAACACCATCCCATACTGTCTGTATTATTTCTCCACAGCATTTAAACCTGCCTGGCAGGGATAAGACATAGCCTCGATTAAACAGACAGAAATAAAGAATGCTGCGGAGAGTATGCAGAAGGAAAACACCAGGATGTGTGTCATGCTGCAATAGAGTCATTAAACATAGAGAATTAAGGTGACACTACAGTAATAGAACATGTCACCTGCTGACTGCAGTTTCGGGGAAATGCTTTGTTGTTGCTGGGGTGATACACCAACATTATATATTTCTCTTCATTTCCACAGCACAAAAGACAAATCAGATCTCACAAACAGAAAGTTGTATATAATACACCAAAAAAAAAAAGCTAGGTTTCCCAGAACAACCAGCCTAACAGTGGTGCTATAATTCAGTTTACTGCATTCCATTTTACAGTATAAATTTAAATTCCAAGAAGGAGAATGCAGCCCTCTTATTTTGGCTTCAGCGGATGTATAGAACCAGGAACTAAAATGGAGCAATGTCCAATCTCACTGTCCTAGCTCCTAACAGACATATGAAACCATAAGGAGGTTTAAATCTTCTTCTTCTACCAAGAACCAAAGAAACAGCTTTGGGTGGACTGACCCCATCATAATTTAGGCAGCTCCATGGTAGATGAATGAGCAGGTTAAATCCACAACCTACTAAGATATACATCAAACATTAGGTATGGTGTCACTCTAAATACATTCCTCACATTTCCTGTATAATGTCACCTATTGGTTGTAGCACGTATATGTTGTATAAGAGTGGGGAGCTGCATGCGAACAGTCAACTCTCTCTTCAGTAGTGGCTGCTCCAAAATACTATCTATTCTTTGTTTTTCATTGTGTTTTCAAATTAAGCAAAGGTCACCTAAAATTGTGGTCAAATACCACCTCTTGCACCACACTGTTGATCAGCAAGGCAAACCATCACTCGTTTGAGCCAACGGAGAGGCATGGAGGAGGAGGAGGACCTAAGCTCAAGTCATCATAACAGAGCCCTTTTATGGGGGTCCTCTGGCACCCTAGAAGACACCTGCTGCTACATACTGGCACTTCTATGTGCCAGCACATATATTTACTATTGTTGATTTATGTGCTTTAAGGTGGATACAAGTACACTTTAAGTAACAGAGATAAAATGAATATAATATAACAGGGTTAGCCATAATCTGGCCCTCTTGCTCTGTTGACACTACAAATCCCCTGTATTTGACTCTGGAAGTCACACATGCCTTATGGAATGCTTTATGGAATTTGTAGTTTCACTATAGCTGGATGGCCGAAGTTGGGCTACCTCTAATATAAAAAATCCAGTAACACAGGCAAAGAGCTATGATTATGTGCAAAGTACAGTAGCCCATAGAAACCAATACAGTTAAGAAGCAATCGAATAACAAATAGTCCATTACCTGGTGAAGACATTTTCTTGCCTTATCATATTCACTACGTAAGCAGTAAGCACTTCCCAGATTGAAGAGCATCATTGTACGGGCTGAAGTGACTGAACTTGGGTAGCACTGAGGCATTGGCTTTCCTACTGAAATTCAACAAATGTTAGTTGACAAGAAGAACAGTAAAACATCCACAAGGAACCTGACAATATTTAGACATTGATATTTATATGAAAAACCATGAGACTTTTTTTTTTACCATACTTTACAAACTAAACAATACAATGAAAAACACACTAATGGAGGCTTTTGTCACCAGGACAAAACAAATAGAGGGGTCTAAAGGTGCCCATACACCTTATGACCATCCAAGGTGGGCAGATCGTACGAGCTTTCAATAAGCATACGACCATCACAAGACAAAAGTCTTGCGATGGTCGTATGCAATTCCCTACTTTATCCAAATAAAAAAAAAACTGCTGCTGTGATCTACCTTCCCACAGAAACATATTGTGGATGGGCCCTTAAAGTGTAACTACACTCAAAACTTTTCTTTTAGGTTTTGTATGTAATGGGGAATATTTGGAACTGCCTTCAGGTTTTACTACAGTCAGAGTCTCCAATGGAAAATCCCTTCACTTCCTGCTTGGTAAAAAGGTTGTTCCTAGGACAGGAAGTGAGGGAAACTAACAGCAACACGAACAGAAGTAAAATGCTTTTGTTAAGCAGAGGAACGCTATAACCTCTATGTTTATTTTTTGTGTGTGCAGATTTTGGAAAATCTTTCAAACAGTGCCAAACCAGCCAATGAGAGAAGGGGGGGAAGCACCCATGATAGCACAGCAGAAGAAAGCTAAACGAAAGCTTCCCCGCCCATTGCTAGGCAACCGCCGGGAGTGACGACAGACGCCAACCCCACGGCCTTGTGCACACTGAAACAGACTGAAAGGAAGAGACACCATCAGCCATCCACCCCCACTATCTGTAGGTAACAACTCTTTAAGCTGTACACACATACATGCAGCCCTGGCACAATAGGGCATGCAGCTTCAGGGAGATTTAGTCCCAACCGCTGTGTCCTCCACATAGAGAGCCAACCTTTGGGAATTTTTTAATTTTGGATGCAGTGGAGAAGGATTAGAATACCTGTCAGGTTTTTATTGCTGTCTGTTTCCCAATTAGGGAGAGCCATCCTCCCTATCTGTCCTGGTGGCCGATATCACTGACAGTGAAAGAAGATCCCAAATCTCGTGTTATCAAAACAGGAATAGATGGGAAATCTGCCAATGGGGCCCTAGTTCTGTTGGCCAAGCTGACCAACAGGAGTAATAGCACTCTCTTACTCTATCCAAAACTAAAACCATTTTGGCTTCAGTTATACTTTAAGTTTAGCAATTAGGAAAGTATCATATAAAGAAATACTTGCATGGAAGGTCTGAGAATTGAAACACAACCACTACAAAATTATGCTCTCTCTAAAATGCTTACCAGATTCCATAGGCTCATTTTCCCCTTTGTCATTTCCTGTTGAATAAACCAAGAGAAATTGGTCAATGCTTGGCAACAAGAGAACAACATGTGAAAGATTTATAACCAATTGGCTGTTCGGCTTAATTTTCTAACCTGCACAGGCAAAATGACAGTTGGAATGTGAATGACTGTTGTTGCAATGCTCACTGCTTAGAAATTAACGCTTTCATATCTGTCTGGCTTTAAATTTGGTGACAATTTTTTTTTTTGCAAGAATGTTCGCACACAAAAAAAAAAAAATAATCAGTCGGAACGTTTGATACTGGTATCAGAAACTTGCCAATTGTCGTTTGAAATTTCGTTTAATTTTCACTTTCATTTAACATTTTATTTTGGAATGAATGGCGTTCCGGAACAAGAACCACATTCACTTTTAGAAATTCGTTTGATCGAGAAAAAAAATTCCAACATGCTCCTTTGAAAATGTTCGGGAACATTGTCGCTTTCGGTTGTTGATCGCACCATACTAATTGATAGATATTCGAATTCATGTTCCGAAAACTAAACTACTTCTATTGTATGAAATTCTAACTGTGTATACCCTACTTAAGTCAAAAAGTTATTGCTGCAGTTGTATAAAATATTTCCTCCAAGTTACCAATCACTCCTCTTTGGTAAAATAGTTAAGGTGTGATGACCGAAAAAACCCCAAAAAGCATATCGCAGGTTTAAAGTAATAATTTTTTTTTACACACAATAAAATGCAAATTTTAGGCCTGAAGATTGCTTAAAAACCCCCATATGACATGTTCTTAAGATCATATAGCAATGAACTGCCTCTTTGAATGATAGCAGTAGTAGTTCTCAACGCGTTGTCATATGGATCATATATTCTATGGTTTGTTAGGCCTGAAAAATACCATTCTGGAGTAGTTTGTTGGAGGGTTTATAGATTATGTGAGAGTACTATTTAATAACTATGTTTTTATGCCTTTTTAACCTTTGTACAATAAAAACTTTTTGATATTTATGATGTTGTCATCTCTTGGATTTGTCACTTGGTACCTTAAAAGGAGAACTATGAGGCGAGTGCTTTTCACTCACCTCATAGTTCTAGCCGACCTGCGACAATGAGACTGTCACAGGCAGGATCAGTAGATCGGGAAGTGAGCGAACACATAAAGGCATTCGCTCACCTCTCGATCCTGTCACAGCTCTCTGCCGTGACAGGGGAGGGACTGGATTCCCCCCTCCCCGATCCTCCAGCGCGGGATCGGACGGGGGAGGGGGCAGGTACAGCTGGCTCTGCCTCTAGATAGGCAGAGCCAGCTGTCACTCACGCAGCTGGGTGGATCCAGACATAATATACTGAGCTTAGGGTGACGGGAGGACGCTAGTTTGTGTCCTCCCGTTACCCTAAGGGCTAGTTCACACCAAGTGCGGAGCAGGTGCAGACCGGATCAAAACTGCGTCCAGTGTATTCCTATGGTATTTTTAGCTCCAGTTCACATCGCAGTGTGCAGATCCAGAGCAGGTAAAAAAAACTGCAGCAGGCCCTATTTTACCTGCTCTGGATCTGCAGACGCATCAAAAATGCATGCAAATGCCTGGAACGCACTGAAAACCCAAGTTAAACTAAAAGTAAAAATTGTTTTTTTTTAGCCAAAAAACGCATCTAAAAGACTAGCGTGCGTGCAGAAACCTGACCGGATCTACTCTGTATTTGGTGTGAACAAGGCCTAAGGAGAACTATGGGGAAAAGCCTTAACCCCATAGTTCTCCTTTTAAAGCTCCATATCTATATATGGTTTTATATTTGACATACCAGGGGTGTGGTACCAATTATTCAGGATTCGTTCAGGATAATGTGCTCTTGCTATTATCTTTACTAATCAGAAAAGCCTCTAAGCCCTTCTCTGATTTAGTTTCACTTTTTTAATGGAGCCTGACTTCCTTGAGTGGATGGTGAAGTTTCACTGACTGCCATTCCACTGCCAATTGAGAGTGCCTTTACTGGACAGTGAGACAGTGTAATTGGACCATGGACTAGCAGTGGGTGGGTACTAAGCTATAAAGTGAAGTCCCAGTGAGATAACTAAAATGGAACTAAATATTTCTGGGTGAGAAAGGTAATAGCAGGCATTTTATGGTGTCTTTTCTTAAGCTGACCATGCACTCTTACAATTCTCTAGCTTAGCCCGAAATCCATCAATCTCCCCATCAACACTAAACCCCATCAATTGGAAGGGGGGGGGGATATCCTGCTGCAGGCTATTGTATCAGCTGCTGAATACCCAAAAAGTGCATTTATCTGATTAGATGCAGACACTGTTCAGCCAAGAATTTTTGAAACAACAGCCAAGAATTTTTGAAACATCAACATTTGTTTGTTTGAGAGAGGGGCTTGGGTGTGGGGGGAGTCAACAGGGCCAACCATGGCTCGAATTTCAGCCTATTGAGCAGCAATCTGTTGAAATTCGAGTACTGTATGGCCAACTTTAGGCCAACACTTTTATATCAAAACTTGAAAAAGTTTCACTTAATAGAAGTATTCTGTGGTCACATTTTAAATTTTTTTTATCAAATGCCCTCTTCCAAAATGTAACATCCAACTCCCTTTTTCAATGATTGACTTAAGTTTATAGTGTAATATAGTAAAGTATTTTGTTTACTGTCAAAACAATCTTAGTATGACTGCAGATAAGCTGGTGCCTCCCAGAAAACAAAGGTTGGAAATTAATCTGACCCTCGTATGACACTGCGGAGACCCACCACAATCCTCTACCTGATTCAGCTATGAGTCGATAAAAGCTGCATGCATATTCGGAAAATAGCCCCCGTTTTCATACACAAGGTAACGTCTACATACTGGTTGCAGAGATTTAAACTATGAGAACTAAAAATGAACACTTTCTGCAATAATAACCTTTCAATGACCTGCACACCGGTTGTCACAACTAATGCTTAAACTCGTTGTATTGCTTGTCTTTATCAGGTCATGTAAGCCATCTTAGACTTGGTAATTACCACTCCTTTATGACCCATCATCCCACTTCCTGTTCATCCAGTAAATGATATGCATTAACCCTCCACGTACAAGTCTTCTGTCATAATCTGTGTTCTTCAAGTCTAATGAGCGGAATCAGGCGCAGAATCATTTAAACGTTATGCTACAAACGAATGAGTCACTGCATGCAGTATTCATGTACTGCACAGACATACTCTGCAAATAAATTATGAAGCATGGGAAGAGGGGGCAGGAGATATATGTGTGTGTATGTGTGTGTGTGTGTGTGTATATGAGTACATGTGTGCATTACCACTTCCATCAGAGAAGCAGATAAAAGCATGGCTTAGTCAAGTGTGGTTTCATTAACCTTGCTCCTGTTCATTTGATGAAACCCCAAGGGACACATCTGTGACATTCTCTGGGTTCAAATGAGTGATGGCATCCGAGATCCTGTCCAGAGAGATGAGTGCTTCTGCAGCATACAAATGGCCCAGGAACCTGCAACAACAAAAGAAAGGCTTAAAGTGGACCTATTAATATAATTCCCATGAATCAATAAGGCACATGTCGGCATTACCAAATCACACCATATTTTTAAAATAGCTCTGTCCTGCCATGAAAAAGTAAATAAATACACCCACTTCCACATATAACCATTATAAACTTGAAACTCTTTTGTATTTATTCAGACAGACCTTGTCTGGTAGACTCACAGTGAGATAAGGACAGTTATTGTGAAGTACGACATAGTAAAACCATACACTGGTAGAGTTTCGTGTTCATATGAAAAATCTTGTCAGAACATTCAATAATGCCAGCAGAGAATTGTAGAATGTCACTGAAATTTCATTTGATTTTAACATTCTATTTTGGAAATGAATAGTTTCCACAAAACAAAAACCATATTCACTGTTAGAATTTCGGCACTGCGGTCAAGATTGATAGTTGATTTGACCCCATTAACTATTAGACGATTGAACAAAAAAGTTTTTTCCACAATATTTGAACAAAAAAACTCTACTGGTGTGTGAGGTCCACACCGGAGTAAAAAAGAAAGGCAAGTAAATGACTTGTGCGTTGCATATAGTTTTAGGTGCACTTAGGAAGCATTTGTAGTTTTAAATCTTTTGGAATGCCTTAATAAACTTTAAAAATAAAAGCAAAATCTTCCTGGTTATTTTACAAGCGTGCGTTTAGGCCACGCTGGAAGATTCTCATTCAGACCCTATTCACACCCGAGCAATTTAAAGCACGTGATTACCATGTGTTTCTCTAGTGTTTTCATGCCTAATACCTGTCTCCTCCTTCTGGCAAACTGCATTCAAGAACGTGTGAACAACCATGTACGCTTACATAACACTCCCAAAAGGAATGAACGAATGAGGAAGCCGATGTTCAAGTGTGAACCGAGCCTGAGGAATTTGCCAACATCTGCCAAAGGTTGTTGTTGTATGCTGTATTATGTGTGTACTAAACCATTCGCTTTTTTATGTTACAAAACTCGCATTGGCTTTGGAAAGCTTCAAAAATGTTCTTTACAATTGCGTGAACGAGGCATAAATGTGTGGTACATATTTACTTAGAATCGGATTTTTAATTAACACACAGAATTTATGTGACGCTGATCTCTTTAGTGTGCGTGCGTGTGTCTCATATTATAATATATATATATATATGTGTATATAATTATATACACTGTATTTCCAAATATTTTAAAGACCACAGTCCCCCTTTAAGTGATATATGGTTCCTGGCTATAAAACTTAAGAGTGACACAACACAGGTATTCCTGTTCCCACAACCTAATACCAGCATTGCAGGGTTCTGAAATGTAACAATGTGCTGACCTTTAACCCTTTCAGTGTCAGCGGGGTCAGATAGCTCTAATTTCTGCGGAATTTTCCGAATTCTTGTCCTTTCCTTTATAGAATATACTGACACCAGTAGAGAGAAATAGAATTTTTGCACACAGTTGTAGTGAATTTCAGTATTAAAGGGTCATGTATATGACGGAACAATTTTTAGAATTTAGACATTGGAGTGTGGAAATTTCAGGACATTATCAGCACTGAAGACAAATCTCTGGTCCTGAGAGGTGACATTTTCCTACACACTACCTTTTATATAAAAAGGAAGCTCATGTCATCCTTTAGGAAAAAGTCTTAAAATTTAGTAGATATGCAAGTATTCGGAGCTTCCGAAAAATTTACAAGTTACTGTCAAGAACATGGTCTTCAGTCAACACAATGCTGTAGTCATGTTCACTTTAATGCGACACAGAGCAAACACTTTGCTAAATGCCTTTTTGAACTAAGCTGCTACTCATTAAATATCTTATTAATATAATTCCCATGAATCAATAAGGCACATGTCGGCATTACCAAATCACACCATATTTTTAAAATAGCTGTGTCCTGCCATGAAAAAGTAAATAAATACACCCACTTCCACATATAACCATTATAAAACTTGAAACTCTTTTGTATTTATTCAGACAGACCTTGTCTGGTAGACTCACAGTGAGATAAGGACAGTTATTGTGAAGTACGACATAGTAAAACCATACACAGGTAGAGTTTCATGTTCATATGAAAAATCTTGTCAGAACATTCAATAATGCCAGCAGAGAATTGTAGAATGTCACTGAAATTTCATTTGATTTTAACATTCTATTTTGGAAATGAATAGTTTCCACAAAACAAAAACCATATTCAATGTTAGGATTTTGGCACTGCGGTCAAGATTGCGGTCATCTCAAAATGCACATTAAGCATTCCTTTGGCTGCTTGTGTAAGCAAGATCATTACTTGGGCAATCACACAGAGATCAGGCCATCTGACAGATCTATTTAGCTGCGGATTGGTCAAAATGCAACATGTTAAGCCATCCCGAATGATTAACAGATGTTGACGTTCAGCTTGTTCAAATGTTGGCGGCAACGCACAACATAAAATGACACATTAAAAAGGAAATATGTCCTTCATAGCTAAGGTCCTTCCTTTCATGCCAACGTACAAGTAGAAACGTGCATCTTTGAATGCGATAACATGCAATTTTGCAAAAGTGAGGGAGGGGCATTCCAAGGTATTGTGTTATTTTCTTTTATTATTAAATTTCAATGGGGCTGCTAATGCTTAACCCCAGCCATTTGTTTCACAAAATTTTTTTTTAGGATTTGAACTAGGGATGCACCGATACCGGTATTTCGCTATCGAGTAGCGATATTTTTTCCCGGCAATCACCGATATCGAATACCAGGAAGCAGGGCGGTGTGTAATGAATCGCTGCTCGGCTTCCTGATTAGCGGGGAAGCAGTCTCCATGCTCCCTCGCCACCAGGTGGCAAGGAAGCATGGAGCCAACTTTCTGGCCAAATAGGAAGCCTGGGGGCGGGTAATGACTCACCAACGACTTCCTGATTGGCCAGTTTCCCGACCAAATAGGAAGCTGGGTGGCAAATCATTACAGTCCACCCGGCTTCCTGATTGGCTGGGAAACCGGCTCAATGCTCCCTGGTGACGAGGGAGCACGTAGTCGGCTTCCAAGCCAATCAGGAAGCCAGGCAGAGTGTAATGACTTGCCAAACGACTTCCTGATACAGGAAGTTCCGGTATCGGGATAGGCATTGGGAGCATTCGGGGGAATACTCGGTTTCGGTGCATCCCTAATAAGAACCTCTGCTAGGTTTTAAGTGCTGGCTGTGTCCCCAGTGGGGAGAAGTCCACTCACAGGGACATGTGGTAGCATAAAAGGCTCATGCACATGGCTCACAAAAACAAAATGTGTAACGTGTAAGGTTTACTATGGCTCATGTACACAGCTGCATAAAGATCAGTACACTTGCACGGTATATGGATCAGAAAAATCAAAATTGAAGAATCTCTGTCTAAGGGCCATTACATTTACACACATACGCGTTTAAACACATGTACATGTGTAAATTTATTAGAATGGTATGTAGAATTGTGCATGCATATATTATATCCTACATGATTACTGGTTAACATGATTACTGGTTAACCAATTATGCAATTATTCTAAAAAATTGGCTAGTTTTCCATCTGTGTCTGCTGGTAGCACTTTTTTTTTCTTAAAAAAATAAAAACCAAAACATACTCAAACAAAAATAAAATTTGGTGAAGCATCAGAAGCAAAATAAAAATACAACTGGGTAGCTGGAGTGGGGCTTCTGACAAACAAACTCAGATCAGAAAGACTATGCAGGAGGTCTTGCCTTACTTGAAAGCATTTTTGGAATGTCTCATCCACTCCCCCCCCCACCTTCACATCATGGCCAAATTCACAAGTCTGACACAAGAGCCGTGAGGCCCGCTTTGGCTTCCAAGGCTTCAAAAAAGCAACATGCTCACAAAACATGCGGACATTCTCTGTTTGATTGGGAATGTCTCTAGTGTTCTTCAAGAGCTATTCAGTGAATAGGGGCACAACACAGTTCATGTACCAGATGGCTTCTAGTAAAGATGGATGAGCCAATTTCTATGTCAAAGCTGGAAATATTTTTTTAAGTTAGTTTGGGCTTTGCTCGAAATAGTCTTCAATCTACATGCTGTATATAGTTTCATAGTATACTATTAAAAAAAGAGAGAACATAAAAAACACAAATTGACCAAGAAAAAAAAACAAAAAAAAACCTCTGCTGCTATTATTAGTGCTTGTTCACTCCATAAAAAGAAATAACACATGATTTTCCCTCATCAGTAATTTAGAATGGGCCCTTGATGTATCTCAACACAAAAAATAAAGTGCACTTGCCATGTTTAAGGCCACATAAAGAGCATTGACATCTGCGGTAAGCTATAGCGCTGGTATATATGTCTTACCGTATATGTTCATTGGGGTGCAAAGAAGAATGAATGGCAGCACAGTTGCTCAGTGGTTAGCACTTCTCCCTTGCAGTACTAGGGGGTCACTGGTGCAAAATCCCAGTCAAGACACAAGCTGCATGGAGTGTGCATGTTCTCCATGTACTTGTGTGTGTTTTCCTCCGGGTACTCCTACACTGCAAAAGGCATGGTCGTAGGTTCACCGACTCCCGTCTAAGGCTGCCCATACACCTTGCGATCATGGGACGTCACTTTTCGATTTCCGTACAGCGGCCCCATCCTGCCCCGATTAAATCGCAAGGTTGGATCAGTGGTAATTAAAAAAAAGCACCTGGATGAATTGTGGTAAGCGACTGCACGTATTTTCGTCTGCGCATGTGCAGTGTAAATCGTAAGAATATCGGACGAAAACACGATCGCATACGAAAATCGGCCTATATTCGTAAGGTGTTTGGGCAGCTTAAGTCCACACGATTATGTATGTAGTTGTAATTTTTAAAAGCAGCATACGGGGCGTGTGTGTAAAAACAAAACGGAGTATTGTAGTATGCGATGATACCTTTATTGGACTAACAAAATATATAAAAGACAAGCATGTGACACTGGTAGTTCTCGTGAAAATGGCAAGCCTCGGCACTGGTATCTGAAAAGCCTT